CCCCTTAAATGAGTGAGGCCCTAAGGCGGGCACCTACTCCGCCTAATGGGTAATCCAGCACTGATCATAATAATGTGTAAACAAATGATTAGGATCAAAACAAAACGAGGATTTTGGATAGGTCGTTTAAATAATATGTTTTTTTAGTTCTTATGTTTGTAATAACTTTTTTGACGGTAAGTATAAAAAGTTTTCCAAAAGTTACACATAGACTTTTTGTATACTTCGGAAATTTCACTCTCTTATTATTGTGGAAGGTATTTTGGAGAGGTAATTTTTGAAATGGCCCCCAGAACGGGAAAAAACGAGCCGTCCCTGTCATTAGTTAACGTAATGTGTACAGCACCAATCATTTCAAAACCTTGAACGGAACTTTACTGGTATACGAGTAAGTGATAATATTTCAAGTATATAATATATATTTATTTTTTGTGCCAAAGGCCCACTTTAACGATAATGAAAATGAATGAAGAAAAAAATACCCATCAAAGTTGACAATTATGTGTATGTGTATATGTATGTAATTATGTGTAGACGGTACAAATTGAAAAGTTACAACCGATTTTCGTATGAAAAAACCGGTACGCATACGGTGAAATGTTTTCGAATTATTTAACGACCAAATATAGAGAGAAAAAATAACATTAGTATAATAGACCTCACAGACGTATCTATAAAATAAATGCGACCCATGGTATGTAAATTAAAACAAAATACACAGAAAAACGTTAACTGATTTTGCGGGAACTATCGGTGAATTGAAAATACTAATTAACCTATTTAATATACTATTTTATTCTTAATATAGAACAAATCTTTACTCTTCCCCATCAACTCTCGTCAACTGTATGACAAAGATTTCATCACTGTTATAATATCGAAGTCAGGAAGTATTTGAAAAATATATTTTATACAGCGAAGTTTTTACGTGTAACGTTCATTATAATAAACATTGAACAAGTTTATGTTCCGGGTTTTTAAATTATTCTTAAGTACTCATTAAAACCGTAGAATTTGATGTGGAAAAAATTATATATAATAATATGCAGACCAGCAATGTTTTTCTGAGAATACAATTGTAATTTATAAACTGAATTCGGTAAAACTGTATAGGTACGTTAAAATATCACTGGACCTTATAAATACAATGTTTTAGACAATGTTTCTAGCTTACCATGTAAAGCATTTATACATTTTGTGACAGAATTTGTCTAATTCATATTTTAGGCAGGTTTTCACTGTATCAAAATAAATGCATATTGTTTTGTTCATAACGACTTAAAATTATTTCATTGACTTTACTCGTTTTAAATTTTATGTTATCCGTTATAATAATACGTTTAATAATTTAAATAGTTTTTTTCAATACACAACTGTCAAATAATTATAACGTTTTATTTCAAACATACATCGAGTAGGTATATAACATATCATGGCGTTTATCAAGCAACAGTCAAAATAAGTCACATATATTGTATAGGTATTGATGAATCGGAGCAGTGTTTCCCATCGCGTAAAAATTCGACGGTTGCGATCTCTAGAAAATTCGCAACGGTCATTTATTATTGACTTGTGAAAAATGAAAATAAATGACCGTGTAGATATTCGCAAGCCGCGGTGGGGTCGAGCGAAAATGAAGATAACATAATGAGATTGATTTGACGTACCTGTACGCATGTGCTCGGAGGTTGAACAATTGCCACAACTAATCAAATTATACTCGTACGTCTATGTACGCATAAACCGTTATATTTTACATGACGCTAAATATTCGACACGATTATTCGGCTATCGGAATAGCATTGGCAAGCTGCGCGAATACTGTTACAGGAACCCATTACGGTTTAATAACTTTACGATTTGCATAATGACTTCGCACCAGTCGATGTGAGATTTCATTAAAATTGTTCACCTTTTACCTTTGCCGCCTGTCAATATTAAAATAGCGATAACGATTTGTTTTGTATTCAATAGCCGCGCGGCTCTTGTTCCGAATAGATATTACCACAGTACGGCGTCTCCAAAATCCAAGCATGACGAACGTATGTGAGAACATTACGGGTTTCGTAGGGATTATCGTTTACGTTCCTAGTCACGGTCGTAGAAAGGAGGAAAAAAACCTAATGATCCGCGGGGTAAAAGAACGTAAGAGATCGCAAAACAATAAGACTCGACTCGCAATTCGCGAACGCGAGCAGGGTTGTTACGGAATACTTAATGTTTTTGCGAAAAAAAAAAAAAAAAAACGGAAAAAAATACATTTTTCCGTAAGCTGCGCAATGCTATCGTCTCCCGGGGGATCGTAAGAATTCTTATTACAACGCGCGTGACGGCCGATCGGCGGATTGCATCAGTTTGGCAGGGTTTCAATAATATTCTCCGACCAATGTCTGCGGTACCGTAATGGACGTGTTCCCTCGCGTAAGACCAACGGTAAATTATAATAATATGTGGCGTGACTGTGCGACCTATCGACTGGAAAAACAACGCGCTTTTTGCGTCGTCATCGAAATTTAATTTCCCCCCCACCCAGGATCGCGGTCCGATATCGGTTAAACGCGTTTTACCTTTTCCGAAACGGGATCGTCAAATCCGTTCTCCGCAACCCCCGATTGCAATCGTTTCCGGACGAAATGCGAAACGCAAAGTGTAGACCCAACGATAATATTTCAAGTTTAAATATTATACTATCAATATTTCAAATCGCTCGACGGTCCGTTCAACGAGAATCGGTTGTATTTTCGTGCACAGATGTGCGAGACCCGTCATTCGAGTGCAATTGCAGTGTTGTAACGCGTCCCAAAACACCGAGGTTGAGCGCGTTAACGGTTTAAAAAGTTTGTGTTTGGTTAAAAAGTTGATTTTGTTCAAAACGTTTGACCTTCACTAGTTGGTTAGATATTTATACCGTATGCAAATAATAAGCCTTTAAGGCTATTAAAAGAAAAATATTTCATATTAACTTTTTTACAGTATTAACCAAAAGTTAAACCGAATTTCAACTCTAAACATTTTCCTCTTAACGCATGTTTACTTAACTGGATAAAAAAAAAATCATCAAGCACGGCATTACGAAATACCGCGATGCAAGTTTAAATTTAGTCCAAATAGGAACGTAAAATTTAAACGTTGAAAAAACGCCTGGATCAACTAGAGTAATGTGATAGCTAATATAATGATAAAAAGTAAAATTAAAAATGAATAAATTGTTAATATTCTTAAATTAATATATAAATAAATAAAATATTATATTATAGTCAGTTTCGATTTTATTTTTTCATGTTGAGTCGCTATTCTATTAACATTGTATATACTTGATGATGAATTTTTAATTCGAAACCGGTCTTTCTTTACAAGTATAATATAATAATACTCCAGGCTAAGCTTTTATTTATTTGTCTGTTTATGTGTCAAAGTTAATAATATTATCAAGAATTAAAATATCTAAAAAAACAATATTATTTTTGCTCCAGATAATGGTAGCTACACATTTATTGACGTATAAATAAATGGACGATATTATATTTTATAGTGTCCAAGTCTATTGGATAATTTTAAATTTATGAAAATTGTTAGAAGGTAAAATTGGACGAGTAATTGACTTTGTAAGTCTGTTCAAGTCAAGTACTCGAAGTTGATTCGACTCGATAAAAAACATTATTAATACGAGAACTCGGTTTGAATGAAGTACTTGGATTTATTTAATTTCTTTATCGAAAAATAAATTTTAAAACTATAAATAACTGGAATTCAAATATTTCTTATAGAAAATACCAAGAAGGTTAAAACGAAGGTTTAAACGAATAACAATAAATTGTTATTGCCTTAATATTCTATTTGATATTCATACAAACATTTTGTACGGATTAGTAACCAAAACTGTTTCTTAAGTACTCAGTATTTTTCGAGTAATCAAATTTCAAACTTGACTTGACTCGAAATAATTGAAATTCGACTCGATATCAACAAACAGTATTCATCCAACTGTATTAAAAATTAACAGAAATATTAAAGAATAAAATTGATGAAGAATAAAAAAAAAAAAAATACGTGTCGTAAATTGTTAAATAAAAAATAGTAAAAAGTAATGTTTCTTCCACATGGCTCAATCTTTTTTAATTGAGTACGTAAATAAAGTAATTGAGTAAGTAAATAAATCAATTACTTTTTTTTTTTTTTTTGATAATTAGAAGAAAATTATCAAATTCTAAAAAAATAACAATCGTGTGAGAGAAAAAATATTTTTAATATAAAATAACATTGATTTTATTTGAAAAAAAAAATGCAAAGATTATTCATAGCATAGGAAAGTTTCAATTGAAATAAAAAGTTGACCGTACCAAACCGTAATAACCCGTACAACATAACTGTACGTTTACGAATATATTATTTGATTTCGGTTTTGCATCGGCTTATAAGGTGTTCTATGTTACCTTCAGCGGTATAGTTATTATTATGTAAATTATGAAAATAGAAACGAAATTCATCGGGTAACTTTGTACATCAAAGGTCTGCTGGTGCTTCGGAACGAAAACGAGTTTCGCGCATCGGATTGTAGAACGGTCCGGCGTATTCTCCGTGTTCATGGGCGTCCCCAGGATGGGACAAGATGGGGGACTTGCCCTCAAGAATTTTAAAAATGTTTTCTAAAGTATACATACACTACTTTAATGTAACATATGTATTATATACAGAAGAAAACTATCTTTAATAATAACTGGATTATTTTATCTTATTACATATCTTTAAGGAAAAACAATAATATATAAATAAAATGTAAGTTTAAATGTATCAAAAAATATCTACATTTATTTTTTAAATTAATTTAGCCCCTCTCCCCCATAAAAAATGTCTGGGTACACCCAGGCCCGTGTTCGATAGCAAAAATCTCAGATCCTTGCGGCGTGCTTGTACGGGCCAGGTTAATTTGTTTTTTTCCGCTCTTACCCTTTATTCGTTCCAGCCGCGCGTTACAGTGATACGGTGTCGTTGGTACTCACTTGATACGGTTATTCTGGGCCACAGGGATGCCGCTGGAACGAGGAAAAACGGTTTTGCCGCGACGCGAACGCGGGCGTGAACGTGTCGTCCGTATGCGATCCGGTATCCGGGTTGATGCGTCTGATGACGGTGCGCCGACAATCGTATGCGATCTTCACTGGTAGCAGTAGTAGCAGCGACGGTGGCAGTAGCGACGGAAACGGGCGCGCGCGTGTGTGTTGCTGATTCGGTGTCGGTGGCCGCGCGGACTCGGGTATTTATACGGGCGCAGTTGAAAAGCGGTACGGGCCGCTGCCGCCGCACGTAGGTGTAAAAGTGGTTAATGGGACACGTGGAGGGAGCCGACGGACGGACGATCGGGCTATAAATTTCCTACCGCCGCCGAACGAAAGCGTAAGCGTTGTTACATAAATTCCTCTTTTTTTTTTTTTCACTTCTTCTTCTTCTGCTCGTCCCGCCGTAACAGTTTTATATTCGTTTGTTTATTCGATTTTTGTTGTTTTCGAGAACTCCGCGCCGCGGCCTTGGTCGCACATAATACGATAACGTGACCCAGTCCGTGATCCGTGCGTGTGTGCGCGCCGTGTGATTCATACCCGTCAACGGTGTTCGAAAGGTCGGGGACGCGTCGTCCGCGACGGCACCGCTGTTGGGTCGTACGAGAAAATCCGAAAACAAATGCTGTTATTACGATGTTTCAAGATGTGTCGTACGGTTTTCACATCAACTCACCGCGGTGCGAAAGACGAAAAAACAATTACCCTTCATCGTCCTAGGGATAAAATATTCTACCGGACCGCGCGTGTCTTCGAAACCATACTGGGCGGGCGTTAACTTTTGCGAGGACCTGGGCAAAACTTATTTTTCCCACAAAAATAGTCACCTATAGCCTGTAGGAGGCCGCAATTAAAGGCGATAACATGTAGTCAGACACGCTGCACGCGATATTGGGTAATGACTGATTCGATTTAAGAAACGTGAAAAAATTAATTTCCTTTGTATCCCGGTTTCCATACCGCATGGAGTGCCATACGGATCGTCATTGGTGCATGACATATTGAATATAATATTGTTGTTTTATTAATTTGTTTCGTTACACGCCTATGGATTTCTCGAGGAATCGTAATCGCCAGGCGATCTACACATTTCACGTTTTATTTTATGAGATTTCCGTAGAAAATATTTTTCAATGAACATTTTAAGCACGAGGTCCTTGAAGGTGAGAGGCTCTGGACAAATGCCCCGTTTTGCCTTCCTCTAACGCCGGCCCTGAACTCATAGTTAAAGTATAAAAATTCGATAAAGGATCGTACGAGTCACGGGAAACTATAAAATTGTTTTCGTTTTCATCAAGCGCAGGTCTTCAAACGCAAACGAACCGAAAATGTGTACGTGTACAATTAACGTACAATCAAACAGTTGAACGTAAGAAAATTAGGAACACAGTCGATGATACAAATGTATTGAGATAATGATATTTTAGTGACTGTTTAGACGGTCGGCGGTGAAAAATGGATTTTTGGGGTTCTCGATCTCGGACGTACGTAAATAGTGAATATATGAAATATATTACAATTTTTCTAATGTTTTAATAATTTTCATGTAAGTATATACGTATTCGGTGTATTTATGATTATTTAACTCGAAGCATGTATATGACAAAGTGGCACTCGTCATAGAGTTGACAAATCTGTACGCCCGATAAGTGCTCTTATAGGTTTCAAGCGATTTAAATCGTTACGATTACGACTGGAAATATATTATTTCGTCGCAAATTCTACCACGACTGCTATTAGTGTAAAGCTTTGGTCAACTACACGTTTTAATAAATGTTTTCTGTGTCGCAGAAATGTTTAACTCTCAACGTACATTTCACTTGGAAATAATTGGCAATCAAAACTAATCAAACTGTTGAAATATGTTTCCGGGCTCCATACTCGGTAATGACACGTAGCACGGGGGAAGAATAATGGTTTTTTTTTTTTTGTTTAAAACAAAATATTCATTTTCTTGGATAATTTAGAAGTGTTTTT